ATTGACAAAGCAATCAATGTACACTGCCTCCAAAGGTAGATAAGTCATAGTTTATGATTGACCAGTAGGGTGGGGTAGTGAGAAAAATTGGGTAGAAAAAACAGTAAACTTTTAAGATACTGTCCTGATTAGGGCATTTTGTTTATATAGTTAAACACTGTTTGTTTTAATTTCACAAGTGGAATAGTCTCTGTAACTTAAACGTTGTTGCCATTATGAAAAAACAAAAAACTCATCATACACAATACTCTTCTAAATTAAATGGAAAAAATATTTCTTTGGTGATCTCCATGAAAACAGGCAGCCAGTTCAAAACTGTCAGGCCACAATTCCAGATTAATAGTTCTGTGGGTGTTGAAACGTGAATGAACCTGCATGTACTTTCTTTTGATGCTTCAGCATAGTTTAACAAATGATTACTGTCAATATACCTTGAATAAAACTTCTACAATAGAAGTTAAGGGTTCCTTTCATAACAAATGATTTCTAATTACCTAAATTATCTGAATTTGGGATAAAAAATTCACTATTTAAAATTGTTGTGAAGAAATTATGTTAACCAGTGTAATTTAAAGGAAACAAATTGTTTCAGTATTTTATATTTCATGTGAGAAAATGCATACACTACTGCATATAAACAATGTTTAATTGCGTAAGGTTAAACTAAGATGATTTCATAGTCTCTCTGTTCAAATTGGAAATGTAGTGGGGTTGCCCAAGTAACTGAATAGGATATGAAGTTCAGCATATTTTTCTTTTAAATGAAACTGGCTTTCATACAGTTCTGAACGTCTATGTTATTAATGTATGTTCCTCTCTTTTCCAAAATTCTGGGGAAATTCATTGCACTTTTTTGCTTTTAGTGCAGTCAACTTTGGTTATAGTGAAGTTTCGGAGACTAACATTTTTGGTTCACTATATCTAATGATGTCAAAATTAAATAGTATTTCTCTACAAATATTGATTTTATTAATATAGAATACAGCAAAATACATTAACAGCAGGGAAATTTCAATATCTTTGTTGGTACTTAAATATCAATTATTTTCGATTGTTTGCTTTGTATGTTTTTCGTTAATAATATCTCTAGATATACTCAAGATTCTGCATTGTCCACTGTCTCTAAGTGTCATAGTGTAGTCTTGACGCCATTCAATGCCTCTTCCACCATTAGAACACAGGCCCTTTTACTCGCCTATTGACACGATATCCTTTCGGTAATGGGATGGTGTAGAACACCATGCGATCTGTTCTGCGAAATGTCAAGTAACATCAAGCTTGAACTGAGTGGTACAGTGTCATCAGGAAGGTCCCCATTCTGGGTCCACTGCCGCCATATTAGGGAAGACTTCTTTGATTATGATCTTTGGCTGATGTTTTGACTGATAATGGCCTTTTTTTCCAAGGTATCTGATGTTAGAATTTGTGGCACTGACGTATATTCTTTTTCAGGTGGGAATTACTTTCCAGGATGTATTTCCTACGTTCACTATAGCCGAGGTCCGGTTTCACTATGACCAAATCTTTGTATGCTTATGTGTAATGTAAGTGAAATGGGACAAACACGTTCAGTTCACTACAACCAAGGGTTCACTGTAATCAGAGTTGACTGTTCATGGAAAAATTGTTTATATACAACTCCATTCCATCCACATGTTTCCCTAATTATTTTTATTCATTTGAAATACCACTTTCACTGTCAAGTTTCTTCATTTATATTGTTAAAATTGCTAAAATTGCATATTTTTAGCGAATATAGGTATCCACAATTATAATGTGATCATATTAAGAAGGCGATTAGGATCATCAACCTGCTAAAAAAAATTAACTTACTACTCTTAACTAGTTAACAACACTGATATTAATTAAGCTATTAAGAAACTGAAGAGTATGCTTGTTTTTTTACTCAAAAGTCATTATCTGACATTTGAGTAAAACAATGAGTCTTTTCTGCTACAAATCTGTAGTATGATAAGTAAAAATTTTGGTGAAAAAATATCTATAATGTTTACATTTCTTTAATTTTTTAAATTTATATATTTTCTTATAAATTAAAATTTTTAAAAAAATGTATCTTCACTATTTATAGTTAAATCAGAGAGATCCAGATGGCCTACTGAGTATGGAGGTGATTACGTGTATTTCGTTCTTCATAAAGAGAATTTGGACACAATGGAGACTGTCAACTTAATAGCTAGTAGGTTGAGGTATGGAAATAAATGATTTTTCAGATTATATTAATTTTTAAAACTTACTTCTGTGTTGAGACGAGCACCAGTGAAAATGCATGTAGCTTTGGTGTTCTTATATTCTGACTTCATAATTATAAAAATTATCTATTTTGACAAAAAAATTGCAATTTAATCCTTCTTAATTTTCATTGACTAACCACTTTAGTTCAGTTGTGACTTATTATCTTTACAAACATTTTAATTTCGTATTTCTATGTGCAGTAAAACCCACTGAAAAGTGAATCCAGCTTATAATATTATCTCTCATAAGCTGAATTCTCTCTGGAGATACAATCCATGGGGTTGTACTGTAATTATAACCAATTTCTTTTACCTTTACTTTTCGAGTGATGACCTCATTATATGACACTTGTCAACAGTACATATTAACTAATTTCATGTGAAACTCTTTCTTTAGGAACTTGAATACCGTAATAAAATATAGTTTTGAAATGTGTGTGGTGTTTCAAATTTTGAAAATTTATAATGTTACTCATTGGTCATTTGAGTTGTTTCTGACGTGACAAAACTTACATATTAATGATATATTGTAATTTTTATAACCAAGGTGGTGAAATTGTGTTAAGTTTCTTCCTTTAGGAAACTGAAAGTGCAGTAACCATTTTTTGAATGTATCCACATTGTTTTTGTTTCTTCAGGATTAAACCTAACATGATAACATATGCTGGTACCAAAGATCGGCGAGCAGTGACTAGTCAGATGATGAGTATTTTGCGTACTGAGCCTAAAAGATTATTAGATGTAAGTTCTCAATTATATGGAGTGTCTGTAGGCAACTTCAGTTTCAAGTCGAAAGGTTTAAAATTAGGTGATCTCAAAGGAAATCGTTTTCGGATTGCTCTCAGGTAAGACAAATTAGCATATTGGCAATTATTTATAAGAATTAATGTTATTTAGAGTACATGTGTCATAGGAATAACTTGCTAAAGAAAAACTAGATCAAGAGTATTACCCTAGCCTGTAGTTAAAATATACTTGAACTGGATATCATGATTCAGTGCATGCACACCAAATACGAGCAAAGTAGTGGTTATGTTGGGTGAATGGCCTCCCTATGAATTTTCATCAATATTACATTTCTTGAACAGATGTTGTGTACTTTGTGTTTAACGTATTATTGTCATTGTGATGCACTCCATTTTGTGCTTTGCATTCACAAGTTATTTCAGATTTATCATATGACACTGTCGCTTTTGTTTATTTAATAATTTACAATAAGGACTCTTTTCTAATACAAAGGGTTAACAGAAATATAAGGATAAAGGTGACTCGCAAAATTGTAGTATAAATAAAGTACAAAAATAAAGGTAAAAATAAACTCCATGAATCAAAAAGCAATTTATGGAGAATCCTTTCAAACATCTAGGCTTCAAATTAATCGAAATGAAAAATAGACATTCTGAGAATCTTGACAAAAACAGTAAAACTGTGATTACATGTATATCGTTTCCAGTTTTTCAAGTCCTGAAAACCCAGTTATGGGAGAAATTTCTTGATACAAAAGGGCAATAATGCCTTAAAATCATTGTTCAGATTCAAAACGTAAGTTGGGAGAGTAAAAACGGATTATTGAAGGTATAATAATTTATAAAGGTTATATATTCTAAGATATTTCAGAGATATATTTAACATGGGTGAAATACCTGAGTAAATAAGAACCTGCAATGGATTGGAAAGACTCAATTTTGGTAATAGGATTCTGAAGAGCTTATGCTGACTCTCTCAAATCTGTTTATATGGAGAGCATAGTACGGTGTCAATACAGTGGAAGCAAATAGTAGGGAGACCTAACTAGGGAAAGATATAATGCTCTTATGCTGCAACACCCCTGACCTCTGTACAAGTTCTTTTAATTAGACCAAGCTGTGGTAAAGACCTGTTGATGGCCATGTCTATCACATCAATCTACTTGTAAACATACGTGTTTAGCATAAAATAGGACTCTGAGGTGTCTAATTTCAGAGGATCTACATTTGTGCTATTGATGAAGTAGAAGCTTTTATTGGTGTTGAAGGCTCTTGAGAAGGTGACAACTACATTTCTTAAGTTGTAGATGAAGGTCATTAGTTAAGAGGCGTTGAACCGATAGGCTATCTAGTAAGGCAGAAATATAATCTATTGTAGATAAAACTGAGTTAATAGTATGTGAAAGAGAGATTTGATTTTCCTAAATTGCTTTCAGTAATTTAAAGCATTGTGCATTAGTGCCTTGAATGCTTTGTAAAAGGTTTTGTTACAGGATATTAAAATTTTTAAAAATATTTTTCATCATCAGATGAAAATAAATATAACTGATTTATGTTAAGTAAATGACACTCTTCATGTTTATTAGTCAACTGAGCAAATCTTAAAACCATATTTTATTATCCTGAAGATTCTTTTTTTATCCTGATTAATTATTCTGAAAGATTTGTTAACTTGTGTTGCAGAAATGTTACTGGAAGTGATGATCAGATTGAAAAGGCAATGGCATCCCTTTCTGAGCAAGGTTTTCTGAATTACTATGGTTTGCAGAGGTTTGGTAGTTCAGTTTCTGTTCCAACTCATGCAATTGGTAAAGCACTTTTGCTTGGAGACTGGAAATTGGTAAGAGACATGATGAGAAAAAATTAGGCAGATGTGCTCATAGAATTAATTAAGCCAATAAAGGAGAAGTTGATGTACTTTGAATCAAATGTTTTATAGATTTTGATTGTATACACTTGACTCTCAAGACGTGTCAAAATATTCTCTCTTTATTATTACTTCTCAAGATAATATTTTTAGACATAACTTTAACGGTGTTGCACAGCATATCACTCTTATATTCAAGCTCACTTGTTTAAATATGGTTGAAGTCGTGAATTTTTAAGAGAAAAGAATTCCTTTGGAAAGAAATAATGCTGGTTGCCTCAGTTCACAGATTTACGGCATGTAAAAGAACTCCCAGCCTAAATGAATGCTCTGTACAAAATTATAACCCTTCGTTGCTCAAGTACTACCTATGTTCGCTACTTTTTGGCTTTGTGGCAATAGGACTGCTCTCTATTGCTTAGTAACTGTTACTGCAAGAGGAGCGAAATTCATACCTGAATTGAAGATAGTTAGATTTCCAGCTGTAAATGGAATTAATTGTAAGAATATTCAGATACAGTTGTGCATAAAACACACTCTTATATTCACTCTCTCACACTCCCTCACTCTCTTTCACACTTCTGACTGAGAAGAAACAGTCCAGATATGGATTAGCCACAAAACTATGAAGAGATTGCTAATATTAGTGCATCCAGTTCAGTGCTTGTCGCTGCTTTTGGTGACTCAAATAGCTGCAGTGATCCCTTTTCTATTCCATGGTGATTAGCATTACAAAGCTACAGTTGAACTCACGACAGTGTGAACTAGAAACATTAAGAGAAATACTGTGTGTTTTATATCAATTCTTGTATGTTTTTACTGAGTTTTTGTTTATGTTTATTTTAACATTGTTCATTAGATATCAAACATTATGGGGAATATCGAAGAAATTATTGTGCTTCAATTCAAAACCTATTTTGTTCTCTGAAAATTGAAGACCAGCTTTTGACCATATAGGAAGGCTGGCTCTGCCATCCATTATTAAATTTGACAATATTTGAGGACGTAAACAAAACATTAAAAGTTAATAATACCTTGCAAAACCAGAAAGTGATAGAGCTTTGAAAAATCTTGAAACTTCTAATTGATGTAAAATGATTATTGATAAACAAGAATATCTGTTTCGGTGTCACAATGCGATTAAATCAACTTTTACCTTTAAATAATATTTTGAAGGAAATGATATAGACATGGAACCAATCAAAAAGGTGGATTCTCAAGCTAGAAAAATATTCTGAGAGGAATGACATTTTGACATGTATTTAAAGGCACATTCAATGATATCCAAAATGATGTAATTCTCCATATTACTGATGTCATGAGTGAAACAATTTTAAAAGTAATAGAAAATTCAGATTTTGTTTCAGTTATGTTAGATGAAACAGTAGATGTCAGAGTCATTCCTCGTAAAACTGGACAGACAAAAAGCTGAGGTGTTCCAAATTCTCTTAATACTTTTTACACTACCTATTATGAAAAGTAAGATGTATTTTTTGTTTAGCTGAGAAAAAAAAATGTTTGTAGTTACACCTATCGAAAGATATTCATTTATCTCCAATATCAAGCCATTTTTTTAATTTTTAGCTCCAAATATATAGCTTTTAAAAGTGTATACTTGATTTCAAATTGAAGCTTAAGAGGCAATCTTCCAATGAATGCTTATAAATAATGGCAATTTTTTTGTTGTATATTTTAAATTGTTTATAATTTTTAAAACAAGTTTTTTTAAGATAATCCCCTTGATTTAAACTCGTCAGCAATAAATTCTTTGGACTCTAATCTACATCTCTTCAAAGTTTCAAAACGGCTATTGTTTTAGAACTTGAGTAAAAAAAATAATATTCAACAGAGTGCAGAGTATTTTTTCGACCACTGTGGTGCGCTTGTGCCATACTGCTCTATCAATGCTCCCTGTGTCTATCTGTCTTCCTCCACTGGTGTTGCAGCCTTGTTGAATACTGCCCACAACTGTTCATCGATGTCAGTGAGTCATTTTCCACCCAAGGCAATGGTAGGAAGACGACCTAGAAATACAAACACTGTGATAAGCTTACATCCCAGAGTGCCTTTATTGTCGAACAAGCCAGAGGGGCACGATCGGTTCATTTCCACTGTAGCAGTAACGCAATGCAAGGAATATACTCATTTGTAAAACATGTGAGTGCCCGTGCACTTTTTGCTTGTGTAGAAGAGTGACAAAAATTAATTGAAGATGGAAGGTACCCAGAATATATGCATTAATTCGTCTCTCAATCTTTTCAATGTAGAAAATCATGGCAGATCAGAATGTAAAAGTTTAAGGCATGTAACTTAAGTTGGGCAGGCAATATATACAAATTACTCCGAACTTGAAAATTTGTAACAGATGCTGATGGAAAACTTCAACATTGTTTATAATTGAACCTAAACATCTAAAGGAATCGTTGAAACATTTTGCAACTAACACGATCATTTCAACAGAGTAGAAATTGAGAAGAAAAGATATGGTCAAAAGCTTGACAAACATATGAGCAAATTCTGTGAGAGTTTTTCTTTAGATCGAGGAGAGAGACTCTCTAAATTAAAAAAATTTATTGCATTTTCGATGCATGTGCAGACAGAACAATGTCTGCAGGATTATTTCTTCAAGAAGAACAAGTTCAAAAGTATAATTTAGAATGTAAACTCACTGCTCAAACATAAGACGAGATAACAGTTATGACAGAAACATTAACGTGCACACACACAGAGCCAGAGACAGGCAAGCTGACTGTCAGGGAGGGAGACAAAGACAGGTGAGGAGGCAGGGGAAAAACACAAGAAACACAGAGTGAGTCTGAAACGGTCGGAGAGAGCGAGTGAGAGAGTCTGAAACTGACGGAGTGAGAGATGTGCAAGGAAAACGAAGTAGCCAAAAATGTGCCAATACTTTCTATAGTAAATGTTTAAACTATTGAAGATTGTGTTTGAATCCAATGGGCCATGGTTGTCTAGAATAAGGTTTAAAGAAATTGTCCTGAATATAATTACCTGAATTTTTTATGTGTAGTTTTGTTTATTTTCATAGTTACTATTTTTTCTGGAAATTTGTTTTTAGGCAATTGAATTAATCTTGAAACCTAGAGAAGGTGAACCAAATCATTCTCTGGCACGAGCAAGGAAGATATGGTGGGAGACTCGTGATGCAACTAAAGCATTAAAAGATCTACCAAACAGGGAAAAGTTAATTGAAGGAAAATTATTGATGGGGTTAAGTCAATGTGCTGCTAATGATTTTGTTAATGCTCTAGAGAATGTAAGTACTTACGAGTTAGTAGAGTAATGCCTGGATTCTTAGAATTGTATGTTTTACTAACGAATTACCTAATATTGCATGGGTAGTTATTTATCACAATTGTCTAACAAGCAACATCGCTCACCTCTGTACATCCTTCTGTGGTCATCTTTCCCACACCATCTGTTACTTCCATTCCTTCTCCTTGGCTCCCACTTTTCTCTCCGCTTCCCCCTGCTGTGTCTACTACTTCGTCTTGTTTTGCTCCTTTGTCTGTTACTTACCCTCCGCCTGTGCCATCTGCCCACATTCTCAGCTTCTCCCTTCCGTTTCTACTTCCTCTGCTTGCTCACCCCAATTCTACTCTGCAGCATGTCTACATGATTCTCTTATATGCTCTGTTGATTCTCAGTCTCCCTCCAAAATAGTATTTTTTCCAAGTACGAGAGCAATCACTCTGTGTTTTCTATTTGTATTGTATGCAAACATGCATACACACACGTATATATACTTTCAATTTTGTGATAGATGACAATGATAAATGTATGTAAAATGTTTTAGAAGATATAGTATTAAACTTTGATTTTTAGTATTGCATATATTATGTTTTAGATACCACGCAACACACGCTTGTTATATTTACATTCCTATCAGAGTCTTATATGGAATAAAGTTGTCTCTCGACGTGTTAAAGAACTAGGTATTAAACCCATTGCTGGTGATCTGGTTTTTGTAAATGAAAACCAACTAGAAATTGACCCTGAGCAGGAAGAGGCGGAAGAAAGTGAAAAAACAGGTATATTCCAAAAGTTGCGAAATATGAGCATCCATTACAATTTCCTTTGAAGCTATGTGTTGCTAACCTGTAGATATGAATTTGGTTAAGAATTGAAACTGAGTGTAATGTTGTTGTTATTATTATTATTATTATTATTATTATTATTATTATTATGTTATTATTATTATTATTATTACTATTATTATATATCCTGATCAATGCAAATGTATGTTTCAATAAATATATACAAGGGGGCAGATACGCAGATATGTGAAGTGAACATACTTGTTATTTGTTTGGATGCTTTCTTTTCATTAACATGTTTGACTTAAAAGAAATACAAGACAAGAGTATATTTGGTATGAAATAGATATTGCAAAGAAACTAACGAGAACGAAATTAACAGTTACGATATACATTGTTGACAAAAGCATTTAGCTGGAAATATAATATGTGTTTTAGTAAATATCTGTAATTTAAAATGTACAATGTAGTATGCTAAATTGGAACAAAATTAAATTCATTAAGTAATATTTTGCCATCCTTTTAATGTTTTTTTATCTTTTCCATATATACAAGTTGTCTGAAGCAATTTCAATATAGTACCTGTTATGTGAATAATATTTCAAGACAGGCTATTTTTGATTATTACCTTTCAAAATATTTTAATCCTTTGTGCTTCTAATTCTTTAGGTCCTGTATTCCCGTAAGCTCTTTTCTTAAGTCCCAGTGAAGCGCTATCATGGTCCTTGCAATGCAATGGTGATTTCGAAATTTTGAATCATAAAAGAAGCAGCATTTTTGTTAAGAAACAAAGAAAACAAGTTTGGTTCACTGCACCACATTTCTAATTAATAATCTAACAAACAAGTTTATAATGATTGATCTCCACTAGAGAGAGGAGTACAAGGGGTTATTAATGTAAAATAAAAGATATGTTGCATACAGATCCTGCAGATCACACAAGTAAAAAAGATATTGTAAGAATTATCACTGAAGATGATCTTGCAAATGTGCTTATTCAAGATGTAGTAATGCCTTTGCCTGGACATGAGGTTGTGTATCCCAAAAATGTCATGAAAGATTGGTATGAAGGTATTTTGAAAGAAGATGGACTGTCTTCAGCCAGCTTGAAGCAGACTGTTCGGTAACAATTTTGATACTTTAAATTTAGCTTCTGAAATATTGATGAAATGGAGTGTAAGTGGAGCAGTGTGAATGACAGTTTGTGAATGATGACTGATCATTTAAATGTTTGAATTCCAAAATGCTTTACTATTAGTTAGGGGTGAAAAGCTTTCTGTCCATAAATTAGAATTTTCTATAATTTAAAGGAAGAAAATACATTTTTGGATGTAAAAAAACAAGAGGGCTTTATACTTTTCATAAGTAATAGTTGTTTACCGAAAACTGTTGTGAAAATTTCATTTCAATAATGGACATAGGCTATTTCTCAGTCAGTAAAGTCTTGATTGTTATGTTTGTGCCCACAACAGTTTCATGGTCTCCTGCATATTTATTTATTGATGGTAGCTGCTGAAGCTAATTACGTATATCAATGAATTTATGAAATTTATGATGAATTTAGAAAACAACTTTATTGGCAAGAAGTGGATGTTTCTATGACTAACATGTCTGTCTTGTCATGGAAAGTTACTTTTGCTGTGTTATGAAAAATATTGTATTTTAGACTAATTTTATGGCAAAGAGTCTGTGTGATATTTATGTATTATATATGAAATTTAATTCATGATGAGAACATTCTTCGTATTTTCTGGTATGTATTTTATTTTCTAATTTTTGACTGATGGTTAAATGTGAATTGAGAAGGATATTATGCAAAATTTGCAAAGGAGGAAAATAACATACTCAACAATTTATTTGTAACTACCATATATTTGGGAAAAAACTACCATTGAAAGAAAATTTATTGCCAAGAAAATGCAGAAAATGGTGTGAGAAGGAAAACAATATTGTTGGAATTTGAGAAATTGGAGAGATGTAAGCATCGTTTTGGAGAACGACGTTTTCCTGACAATTTTTTAAGGAATGAATGAAAATTAAAACCTTAGACTATGGGTTGGTAGTATTTGATCCTGAAAGCTTTGCTTTAGTGTTAATGAAAATATATCTTACTTACTTGAAAGTTACTTAGAATAAGAAGGGTTCTTTAAAACCATGATCTCAATCTTTATCAAACCAAAATCCCAATCATTATTTATTTTTGACAGAAATTAAATACTTAATTTTCTGTGTGTTCAGCTCTTAAAGTAACTCTAGTGAATCAGGATTTCCAGTTTCATGTGCTGTGTCCTTCACCATAAGATGTAGAAAAGTATTATGTATTAAAAGAAAACAAATTAATTAAGTGAAGATTATGTAGGACTAATTAAGTTATATAATAACATAAGACTTCATCTGTTGACAAATCTTATCAGTAGAGAAATATTCTGTAGGTAGTGTCTTGATTATAAATCAATGTGAAGTCAAGACATCATCTAGATCTTTGACGAATTGTCTTTGAAAACTCATAATGTAAATAGGGTAGGTTCTGATATGCCAGCCCTGATACATTAAGAGGAAAGTGATATTTTTTAAATTCTTTTCATGAAGTACTTTCAATATTTACCAGGCATACATCGGAAATTAACTCTTATTAATAAATGACATACTCAGCTTACAGTTATTGATTTCAATTACTTTGTGCTTTTCTATCCTATATTTCATTATCAGTTGTGTTGTTGAAAAAGAATTTCACAGATTCTGTTGTTTGATATTCTAGTAATAAATATAATTTCATTGGGGTTGGCAATTGAAGTACTTTTAGGTATATGCTAACGCTTGTACCATCACATGCTTCAGTCATGATCAGTTGCTTATTCTTTATTTGTGAAGATTTCACTTTGAGTAATATTGGAAAACGGTTACTTTACTTTACTTTACTTGTACACAACTGCTTGAAGATTTGAAGGTTAATTTCTCTTGATGTCAGAAGAATTTCCTTGATGGCTTCACACACTTTTGTAACTGATAAAATTATTATATGTACAACACGAGAGTATTTGTTCACATTTCATGAACTTGAGATTCTCTTCATATCTAGGAATATTACAGTGGTTTCTTTCCACTTACGAAAATATTAGACATTCGTAATATCTAACTTAATTAACCTCTTTCATACTTCATCAGACTCCTCTCGCTGATTTCCGAAGAGGATGCATTGCATGTGTGTAATTTATAACTGCATTCTATTGCTTAATGCTGTGCACTTCAGGCCAACTGCACTTATTATTCTTCCTTCAGCCAGTGGAAAAGTTGCAGTATGTGGGTCTTTCATGATAAACCAGGACTTTGTTTTGCCAGGCTTTAACAGGTCTGTAAAATACTCTGTTGGTTGTCATGATGAGTTCCAAGTCTCTTCTGTAATGTGCAAGTGCCGTGCTGAAGCAGCAGCATCGTAGGAACAATTGCCAGTGTTTTGGCTAAAATGCTGTGACCTTTCTAATGGCAGAATGCACAGAGGTGATGGTCGTGAGGGTTCGGGTTAGGAACAAGTAGGAGACCTGTGACAGGGTGGCACTCTTGTGTCAGAACGAAATTGATATTTTGGTCTTCAAATAAGGTGGCCATGTCTCCACTATGCTCGCGTGCACAGGTAGGGTGCTTAGTACCTGCTGTGTCCTCAATATTTTGATTTGCCATGAACCACGCACATGCTGCGACAAAACTAGAGAAAAATGGTGACAATATGGAAAGGGAGAAATGTTTTAATTATGTAACAATTTTATGAGGTTGCATGAAGTAAATCAGTGGGAAGTCTTTTTTGTTTTTGACTTGAATTTTTTAACAATGTATTGTTGGAACAAAGCATTGAAAGTGGGGTGTTTTCTGTCGCTGCATGGATTTATAAAAGATTATTATATTAAAAAATAGAAACATTGAAAATCCTTTTAGATGTCTGCAATTTTTTATATCTAAAAATCACAATTTGCCATGAACATTGCTTGTATATGAAATCTACAATTTGGCTTTCATTCTACAATGTATTTTTAATGCAGGAAGTATTCAGTTGGTGGAGCATACAGAAAGATGATTATTCGTCCTGACAATGTGAAATGGAAAACAATGCATTACTCTGAGCCTTTCAAGACTCTTGAGTTATCAGATAAGGAGAAGATGGAAAACAAGGAAGCACCAAAAGATGAACCAGGTTTCTTTCTATTTTCCAAAGAAATTTTTATTACAAAGATTAAATAAAATAATTAATTGACGTTTTATTCTTTTATGTAATAGATGGTACATACAAAGCGCTTCTTTTGGACTTTTGTTTGCCTTCTTCAACATATGCAACAATGGCATTGAGAGAAATTTTGAAGTCTGACACTTCTTCTCAGCATCAAGCATCACTTAATAATTATCATATCCAGAAAGGCAAAGTCTGTGATGATTCAGTGGAACCCTCAGAAGAAACTGGTAATGTTTTAAATTAAAATTACTTTTCATTAACACCCTTGGGAAGAGGGGTGTGTGCAAAGTTGCCATCTCTGGGCTGCGGGAATGTGCAACCCAGCAGGGCTGAGTCGTATTTATCAAGGGTCGGTGCACATGACTTTTGTTGGGGTGATCAGCATTTTCATGCTGAATCTATTTTTACTGCCATGGTTGTTAGCCCTGCAGGATGAAGTGAAATGATAATGATGATGTAGGATTAAATGGACAATCACTAAGACAAACACACCCATACGTGCATGCTCGCACACATGCCAACACACGTGCACAAACACATACACACGCCCAAACACACACAAGCGCACATGCACAAACCCAAAAACACATGCACACACACCTGTGCCTGTGTGCGCCAATGGTGGGACTTGAAACAGAAATCCCTCTCGCAAACTCCAAGACCGCCATGGCACTTCTACTGTGGCAATATCGGCTACCCGGTTTGCCACATCCTTATTTAATAAATTTTGTTTGTTTTATAGCCAGTACTTCAGTAAATGGACGTTTTCATAATATTATGTTGTTTTTGCTTTATATATATTTTATATTATTGTGCTAATCGTATACAATAAAGCTTTTCTGTAATTGGGAATGGATATGGTTCATTGTTATACAAATATTGTATAATATTTATTAATTGTATATATCAGTAATATTGCTGCTGTTACATCAAGTCAATTTGTTTAATGATGTTTTCATTCCTTTTAATGACTCCACACCTACTAACTTTTCTATTGTCATTGCAGTCTACAAACCATCTTCAAGTTCATCTACAAAACCCACGGAAGAAACAAGAAGTGAACAAAATGATCCAACCAAAGAAATTTCTGGAGAGATTGTGTCAGTAAATGATGAAAAAATAGAAAAATCAGAGGAGGTAATGCCAGCAGAATCATGTAGTATAAGAAAGGAAAAGGACTGGGAAAATGAAGTTGAAATTGGAGGGGAAAGTAGAAATGATGAGAATATTATTCGGAAAAGAGAAATTGATAACAATGATGGAGATGTGTTAGAGAAAAAAATGAAATTGGATGTAGAAGAAAAAAAATCAACTGAATAATTATAATTAAAACTGGATGCTGTTTTAATTTTGTTGACGTGATTTTTTTTAAAGTAAAATTTCGTTTTCAATGCCAGATGTAGAAAAAATGCTTATTCTTGTACCTGAATGGTAAGATGTTGGAGTAAAAATAAATAAATTGTAAAAAGAGAGATTGTGACCTTTCTTTCTTGTATTCCACAATGTTTGTTTGTTATTCCATTTTGAAGGGTTTGCTTTCTGTTAGATGTATCCTAACGATATGGTGAGCCTGTCCTATTTCAGTTATCCATTGCATACATTTGATCCTGATATGTTTTGTTTGAGTTGAAAGTTTCAAAGTTCCCCTCCTAGATAATCATGGTGTGTTTCACGCACATTCTTTAAATTAAAAAAATAAAAATAAATCCTTGTCTTAGTGTTAAAAATGTACTACTATTTCTATACATCTTTGTGTGAATACATTCACTTTTTCTTTTACACTAAATGATGTTTGTTAAAGTAGCATTTGAAATTTGGAGATTTTGTTATTTTGAAGTTGAGGCCTTTGCTGGTTTCATCTAACTGATTATGAACTTTGCTGTCTTTGATGTGAAAAACAAACCTTTTTGAATTCTTATCTGAAAAGCAATTTTGGTTCCAAGAACTATTATATTTATTATGAATTCAACAATCACTTTCAGCAAACTACTTTTGTTGTAAATGAAGCTATAGAATATGTAACCTGTCAAGTTCACGCTTCATGGCATTCAACAACAGAAATAAAAGATAACAAAAACCAAAATATACTGCCTTTAGGTTCTATTATGTTTAGAAAATTTGCTTTCTTTGACGGTGTGGAAAGTGAACTTTTAGAATTTTTATCTTAAGAGGCGATTTTGATTGCCCTTATTATTTATGTTAATTCAGAATATGACAATCGCTTTTAGAAAACTGCTTTTGATGTTAATGAAGCTGTAGAAAATGTAACTTGTTAAGTTCATCATGCTGCATGGAACAACAGAAATCTAAAACCAAAATTTACATCAGTTAGAGAAAATTATATTGAAATGTAAATGGGGTATTCAATTTCAAGTGGTTCAGTATCGGTTGCCTCATCGTAATGTGTATGTAAATTCCTTTGTTTTCGATGTAAAAGAGGTCCATTGTATGTGGCTTAAGAAGGGCAGCCATTTTTCGCATATGTGAATGTTTACAGTTTTTGTTGCTTGTTGCAGCTTTGTTGACACAACATGACTGAACTCATTTTAGGGTGTTGAGCGCCTGCCTTGTAGTAATCCTCCATTATTTTCAATGTCAAGTCTCTTCACTTTGCAGTCTGTTGGTGCCTTTTATCTCTTTGAGCAGGGAGTCAGGTCAGTCAATCACTCAGGTCATTGTTGCTTTTTAAACTGAAGTGCATTGGATTCAGTAAACTCTGGCCTACAATCAAAGTGTGGTTCTTATTACCTAGTATGTTTATAATTAGAAAATATTTGCAACCAAATCTATTGAACCCAAAGGGAAAAAATTTCCATTTTTAGCGTAATTTTTCTACTCAAAGCTTTTACACATACCAGTGTATTTTTTTTTTTATAAAATATCAATAAAAAGTAGCATAACTCTTGAAAATTACACCCTTCTCAAAATTTAAATTTTGGATTTTTTCTAAATTTTGAACTGTAGCCAATATCTCCATTGGGGGGTCTAATAAAAACATTTGAATTTCAACACCTAAAAGACAGCTACATAATTAACCAAAGAGCAGTATAAATTTAGACTGAGATTCAAGCCACAGTAGATTTTGTTACAAATTAATGCAAAAAATGCTGCATTTCCAAATTGGATGGAAGAGAGGACAAAGATTTTTCCAGCCTTAATAAACTCAAATCTACCTCAAATCAGAACAGTTTTTAATTTAATTACAGCAAATTACAGAAATGTCAAAAACACAATTTATATTTTGAAGTGTCAATGGTGCAGCTCTTGGTTCATTTGATCATGCATTCTTATAGTTACATTAAACAATGAAATGCTTTAGCGCCTTTATGTTTGTGACATTTTTTCCTCTAAGGCAGTGTTATTTAAATTGTGAGGCACATCTCACTGGGGAGGCGTAAGAAAATTGTAATTATTTATTTGCTTGCTGTAACCTATCCTTTGTCCTGGTCGCTTGTACAACCCCAATTCAATGCTGCCATTTTTGCCATGATGCAAAGCCTGCCTTTCAATAACTAGTCCAAAATCCAGTCTTTGGTAGCACTTGTAGATACTGTTCTTTTTAAATTATCGCTTACTACTTGCATACTTACTATATGCATATATATATATTATTATATATATATATATATATATATATATATATATATATAATATATATATATTATATATATATATATATAGTATATATATATATATATATATATATAACACAACATATATATACACACATACAGAGAGAGTATACCAAGGAAAGTGGATAAATCTTGTTCCTACTTGCAGTAAATTACTATTAACACTTTGTGTACTCAAAATCCACGTTTTGTGGGTTTTGTTAGGGGCTGTCTATGAATTATTGTAACGCAAATTTGGAGCGTTTTGAATACCCACTCCTCTCTGTAATGCGCGGTAGAACCCCTATTACGTAACGCTTGTGACAATCCCCACCACCTATGTAAATGTGAAAAAGTGAAAATAAATTATAGTTCGGTGAAAAGTAGTATTCATTTCGTGCATTTATTCATTCAGAAATCATTTAAAATAATTTTGTTTTAAAGCAAATAAATTAGATAGTACTTTCAGGTTTAATGTGACAAAAAAGGAAATATTTCAAGAAATGTGAAAAAATTCAATGTTACATAACACTAATGGAATACCCTTGTACGGTGCCTCAAACCCCCTCCCCCCTCTTTAGCCTGGACGGCCTCTTGCCAACAAATTGCTTTGTGTCTGTGTGTGCTTCCCGTCCGTATGCGGCGGTAGAAAGAAACGATTGCTCCTCTATTGGTGTTCTCCCTTCGATCAGGCCCCAACCACGAAACTGCGAAATTGAATCCACAGGTATTTGATTTTGGGGCTACTGTGAAAAGACCGTAAACACATTCCACTTTGATAGTTACAGAAATGTCGCATGTTGTGTTTTCGTTAAAACATTCTAGATTTTCAAAAATTGCAAACGTTCAATATTTTTTCGGCTTTGTACTACAATATTGAAAATAAAGATTTTTTTTTCCAAATAAAATCTGTTTTAAAGTTTAAAAAAGGCCACATTCAATTTTTTGAAAATTGAGTAGTTTCATGTAATTTTGCGTGAATATAGGCAACTTTTCCATAAATTAGGAGTGATGACTGCGATCTGTTAACATGGACAAATTGCGTTTAATATAGTTATTACTGTTGGCTAAAACATTATATTTTCCTATTTGTTGGATGTGAAAAATCATTTTTGAGGTATCGACTGCGTCCATGGCCCTTTTGGGGTTTGTTAGTTTTTCGACTTCGATTCTCCGATTTTGAGTTAACATATTATGATTTGTTTTTTTCTTTAGGCCTTACTTAAGCATAAGCTGAGAAGCTTGCAAGTTTTCAAATTTAAAGTGTTTATGCGAACACGTTGTGAATAAGTCCGCTTATGGACGTAGTTCTAACTTGCGTTAACGCCATGCTTATGTTTGTGTTTCAATTGTGAATGGGCCATAACGCATAAAAAAAGTTCGCCCCAGAATTTTGCCAATGCAATGAATAATAAGTAATAATAATAATAATAATATAATAATAATAATAATAATATTTATATGAGTCACATATAACAATTACAATCGTGTGTGACGCAGTCAATTTGATGCCTTGGGGGGAGAGAGCGAAGTTATATTACTGTTCAGGAGCAAAACAAGGGGCCATCTCAGCATTTGCTCAAAGGATCAGGGGAAACTGAACAAAACCTGGATCGAGATGGGGTTATTGGCCTAGAAATACAATACTTCTTACAGTTAGATAAGATATTAACAGTAGATAAAATTATCTGCTTATATTAACATTTCAATATGATATTTTAATTGCTACTACTTATAATAATTATATTAATTAATTACACTTAACAATAATTACATCAATAATAATTACATAATTAATACATATCAATTATGTTTGCAACTACATCAAATTTAACAATAGTTAGTACATTCTATATTATTACTTGAAATGGTGAGGAGGCGAGTTTTGAACCAGTTTTTTTCCTTTCTTCTATTTCACAGGATGTGATAGCAGTTGTTTTTTTTTTTCTTTCTTTGCTTCAGCTTGAAACAGTTCACATGAAACAGAAAGTCTAATGGAATAAGAAATTCTTATTTATTATATTTTTTAAGGGAAATGTTGTAATTTGAAAATTCCTTTACACTGTAGAAACATGTTGATTAACCAGGAAAGCTTTCAGTTTACTTTTAAATGTTATGAATTGTGTTTATGTCTTGATATCATTGCCTAGTTTGTTGTAAAGTGTATTGCCCTCTATTAGGCTTACTTTTATATAAAGTGTAGTTTCCAGAGTTGGGAACATGTATGTTATCCTTTTTGACGGGTGTTGTAGTTATGTACATCAGTATTTAAAGTAAAAAGTGTTCTTTGTTTTCCAGGAGAATTTTCTTTTGTAAAGACCACCATTTCAAATATGTACATGCCATGGTAGAGGAAGAATCCTTAGTTATTAAACAAGGGTTTGCAAGACTCCAGCTTATGAGTGCTGGTCATTGTTCGCAGTATTCTTTTTTGGATAATAAATGTGGGAGTGCTTTCAGGGGCATTTCCCCAGAATATTTATTCCATATTTTAGTGTGAGTGCACATTTGCAAAATACATTGTTCGAAGTGTCTCAATGTTGGAGCTTGACCTGAGGGTGTGTATAGGGCATAGCAAGATTTGCTGAGCTTCTTGTTAAGATTTGAGATGTGAGTGTTCATATTTAGGTTTTCTTGAATTGTTAGTCCGAGGAAGGTAGTTTCATGAAGAGATCGTTACAGGGTTATTGTTTATGAGCAAAGTGCTGTGAGAGTTTTTTCTTTAGATCAAGGATTCATGAAATTTAGAGAGACTGTCTTGCTGGTGTTTATGAGAGTTTGTTGTCTTGAAACCATTTTACTAGTGCTTTGCAAAGTTTTGAGAGTTTCTTTTTCTAATGATTGTCTTGTGTTTTGCTTTGATGTGTTATTATTAAGGTTGGTGCTGTAGTCTTTTAATAATGTCCCACATGGCTTTTTTTATTTACGTGCAATTGCAATGTACTTACATTTGTTATAAATTTTTGCTTATTTGATTACATTTTTAGGATCGAATTAATGTTTTGTAAATAGAAATGAAGTTTGAGTTACATTGTTATTTGTTAGTATTTTATACATGTTTGCATTTTCTTTCACATGACACTTTGATGCCTGTGGTAATCAATGATTTAGTTTCTTATTTTGGATCTTTTTCAGTTTTTGAGGGAAAATGGCATTGAAATGTCTTA